AGAAAGAATATATTTTATTGATCCCTAAGGTTTCCAATGGAACATTCAGCTTCAGAAGCACATCCCCATTTCACTATGTTCTCTACATTCTTTTCTGGCCGATCCAAAAATTACTCATAGGTTTTTATCTTCTTCACACCATTCCCTCCATGTTACCATTTGCCGCCCGATTCGTCGTTTCTTATTCGGATTTCACTCGAGTTTCCTGTAATGTGATAATAACTGAAAATCCCCTTTTCCTCCCGCATATTTTCTGGACAGTACATTTTTGGTTGGTTTGTCACCTCAGTTGATCGTTACTTATCTTTTCTGGAGATTTAATGAAATTCGACATACATCAGCACTACTGTGAACCATATCACCAACGTTCTTCACCCAATACTTATTGGAGAACAGAGACGTCTTCACACATGGATCACACCGAGTCAGGGATTTCACGGATTGTTGTCATGCTTTGATTTCACCAAACACAACCTTATTCCAACCTAATTCTATGTCAACTACAAATGCACGAGGGAGGCATTGGCTCCCCATGTGTAACACATATCTATGCCACACCGATCGCTATAGCTACAGTCTCATCGATTCACTATCCCTCCCCACCGAAAACACAGAACCTGTCTGTCTGGGTTCAACATAGAACTTGGCACCGAAGTGCAGCAGTTCCAGTTGCCACGTTCCAAATAGCACACAGAGGTAGACAAGAAGATGAGTGGAGTGAATCAATACAGTCTGACAAGTATAAGAGTGAAACAGAATGGGTAATGGTAGAAAGGAATATGAAAGATTACAGAGACTGAATACATCTGCGCTGGCCATTGACAACGATTTTGAGCCATGTCACCTATTGTCTCCAGCCATTGATTCCTAGAGTCCCGAGGGCCCCAACCCGGGAGTCTGCATCTCCCTACCTGACTCAGTTTAACTGTCAAGGATTTCATGGATTGATGCCATGTTTTTGTTTGGCCACCACTGGCTCTTTTCCAACCTGCATCTAGCTAGTAATGCCCGTCGGGGGAGGCGGTGGTTAGGCATGCGCAGCACGTGACCTAGCCATCTTAGTCTATGTAACTTTATAGCCTCGTCGATTGATTTTCCCTCTTTGCCCAACACTCTACGCCTAACGTCAACATTACTTACCTTATTAAACCACCTAACGTGAGACAGAGATCGCAGACATCTATGATCGAAAGCAGTCAACCTTTTCATGTCTTCAACGCGTATTGGCCATGTTTCAGAGCCATAGAGAAGGACGGAGCGAACTGATGAGCAGTACACACGTCCCTTGGTTGATAACCGGATGTCACGCCTACGCCAGAGATGGTGTAAGTCAGCGAAAGCAGCTCGAGCTTTTCGGATCCGTGCTGAGATTTCATCGCCAATCAGTCCGTTGGTGCTAATACAACTTCCCAAATAGGTGAAGTGGTCAACATGTTCTATCACTTCACTCCCTATCACTAAGTTAGGAGTTGACGTGGTCCAGTCCTGTAGCAGCATCTTACATTTTGTAGGGGCGAATCGCATGCCAAACATACGAAGATTGCTGCTCAAGGTGTTCAGAAGACTCTGCATTTTGTCAGCATCCTCCCCTAACAGGACTATGTCATCTGCATATTCTAAGTCCATAAGACTATTCCCTGGTAACAAGTCGATTCCTAAGTCATTACGTTCAGTTAAGGATACTTCCATTAGCATATCTATGATGAAGTTAAACAGAAATGGGGAAAGTGGACATCCCTGTCGGACACCACTGGTTGTTACCAATTCAGATGACAATTCCCCATAAGCCCTTACACGACTACGTGAGTTTGAATAGAGTGCCTTGATTAGTGCAATGTACTTTCTTGGCACTCCCTTCACAGTCAGACATTGCCATAGTACCTTTCGATCCACGGAGTCGAAGGCCGCCTTCAAGTCAAGAAATATGACAATTGTTGGACGCCGAAAAGTGTGTCTATGTTCTAGAATCTGTCGAAGAGTGAAGATATGATCTATGCACCCTCTACCTGGTCTAAAGCCTGCTTGATTTTCCCTTGTCTGTTCCTCCCGAGTTCTGCTTAGTCTATGCATGATTACTGAGCCTAGGATTTTAGAGACTATGTTCGTTAGGCTGATCCCCCTATGATTATCACACGAGGACTTGTTTCCCTTCTTGAATATCGGTATAATAAGTGACTTACCCCAGTCTGATGGCACTGTCTCTGATTCCCAGACTTTGCCTAGTACCTCAGTTAATCTACAAACTAGTATGTCACCCCCATATTTAAACACCTCCGGAATAATTCCGTCGGGTCCTGCCGCTTTGCCTCGTTTCAAATTACTGATAGCTTTTGTGACCTCACTTACAGACGGCGGACCAGTGTCTATATCCCATTCGGGTGTGTGTGGATGTCGGGGAGGTTCAGTGTGGCTGTAGGCAAGTTAAATTGTCCTCAAAGTGTTCTTTCCAGCGTTCAAGGCGTCTATCCTGAGAGCTAATTAAGGAGCCATTTTTCTCAGAAATAGTCTCACTTATGATTTGCCTTCTCCCACCCGTTTCTGATGAGTCTAAAGAGTTGCCTAGTGTTGCCTATCGCCGATGCTTTTTCCATCTCTTTCGCCTTTGTCAGCCACCACTGTTCACGGTCCTTGCGGAGACTTTTAGTAAGTTTCCTTTTGTGCAGCTTTCGCTCCTCATTGAATTCGGAGCTCGCCGGAATAAGTCTTCTAGCATCTATCAGTTCGGATGAGGCAGTCGAAATCCAGTGGTTTTTACTCACCTTTGGATTTTTTATTCACAGCTTTTACAGCTGTATCTATGGCTGACTGAATATTCTTCCAGGCTTCTCCAGGGTGAGCACAGCTGTCGAACTCAGATATGTGTTTAGCTAGTTCTTCCTCAAATAGGGATTTAGTTTCCTGATCGAGCTGGGGACGTGATGGTTTTACCGCCAGCTGTTTCCTACGTCCGTTCAGTCGTAAGCACACACGAGCCCGGACCAGTGCGTGATCGGTATCTACACACGTGTTCCAGAAGGAGCGACAATCTCCTACCGACCCACGCCAACGATAGCTTATTGCTATGTGGTCTATTTGTGTCCAGCGTTGGTTTGATGATGGGGGTCGCCAGGTTAAACAGTGTCTCTCCTTGTGTTTAAAGTTAGTGCTTACAAGAAACAAATGATTATCAGAACAGAACTGTAGGAGACGGTCACCGTTGTCGGTTCGCTGGCACGGAACTCCATAGGTGCCACCGACATCCTTCTCAGATTGACACAATTTCCCTACTTGAGCATTAAAGTCACCAGCTAGAACGACTATATCTGAGCGTTTAGCCTTTCTCACCAAACTAGACAGCTTTTGGTAGAACTCATCCTTCGTTTCATCCGAACTGCAGTCAGTGGGGGCGTAGGCGGAGATTACGAAAAGGCATCGGCGAGTAGTGCAGTCCTTTCTCCTTCTTACTGATCCGTTCAGACGGACAGCACACATTCGGCTATCTACTGGGATCCAGTCAAGTAATGTCTTTTCTGCCCTAGTACTCAAGCTATCCCTACGCCAGCTAATCCTCGTGAACTAGCTGTGGCATCTCCTGACACCCTCAAGGTGAATTTTGAAGATTCATCCTGTTGGCCAGGTGGGGTTAGGTGAATAACCACACTTGGGTCTTGTATGCGTGTTTCTGAAACACAACATACATCAATGGCTCGGGATGCCAGGGTTTTGGCTAGTGATGCTTGTTGTCCTATTTGGCAAAGTGTCCTAACACAAAACCTAACGTTTGTATTACTCACCCATACCATACCAACTTCTTTTTGACAGGAACAAATCACATGCCATACGTGCTGAGATTTCTGCTCACGATGCGTACAGGACTCCGCATTTTACCAGTGTTCTATTAGAAGGACTACGTCATCCTCATACAATAAATCAACAAAACACTTCCCTGGTAACTAGTTAATACCTCAGTCGATTCAGGTCACATCCACTGATACAGCTACGAGACAATCAAACAAAAACACGTAGAACTTGGGTATCCCTGATGAACACCACTGCTTGTCATCACTTTAAATGACAAGTATCCACAGGGTTGTGTTAATTCAAGTAGAATTAGCGTTTTCATTAGTGTGACATACTTTCTCGACAATTCATTCACGAATAAACACATAGAAATCACCTCTCCGTCGACGGACACAAACACTGCCTTCAGGTCAAGAAATATGGCAAGGGTTGTACTTCGGAAGGTATGCCTGTGTTTCAGAATCTGTCGAAAAGTGAAGACAAGACCAATATGCCTTCACCCAGTCTTAAAGCCTGTCTGACTTTCACGGGTTTATTTCGTCCGAACACAGTTCAGTCTGCACATGCATATTGGACCCACTGGTTTAGATACCATATTAGTCAACCTAACAACGCCCCCATGATCACTCGAAGACTTGTCTCCCTTCTCTTAAATGGGATGATCAATTATTCACAGACGTCCAACGAGAACATCTCGGATGAACAAACATTATCCAATATCTTTGTTAACCCAGTACTTCACCACTATCCTGAAACACACCTGCAGTCATACCATTGCGTCCCTCTGCTTAGCTTCGTTTCAGATTAGAGACCGTCTTCACAACCACAGTCATAATTGAAGTTCCGATGTCCACATACTACTCAGTTAAGTGTTGGATGCTGGCAAATTTACTGTGGCTGTATGTCAGTTAAACTGCTCTCCAGTATCCCCTTCAGCGTGCTACTTGTCTATCCTGATAAAGAATTAACACATTATTCAAGAAAATCGCTTCACTTACCAATGACTTCCCTAATCATTCTAAACAGTTGTCTGGTATTACCTACAACCAACGCCTTTTCTATCTCCTTCGCTAGTGTCGGCCACCACTGTTCACGGAAGTCACCCTGCATTTGAGCAGCTTTCGTTCCTCACCACGCTCGAGGTTCGTCGGGACCAGCCTCCTTATGTCCATTAGTCCAGAAGACGTGACAGTCCTTAGTTATTCTATGTAAACAATGACCAGCCATCTCACAACTTACCACAACTAGAATTTCGTGTTTACCAATGCACTACACGAGAATAAAGTAGGAACCGCCTAGAACACATGATACTGTAAAAGTGGAGTTAAATAATATAGCTTAACAACCTAGGAGAAAAATGACAAAATGTGATGCATCTGTTGTTACAAGTTAATCCACTTCACATCATAAAAAGCCGGAAATCTCCAAATTACACTAGGACATGAAAAATAGGATCAAAAAATCTACTCAGCCCATGTTAATGGAAGCTATTGTGAATATACTCACAAAAATTCGACTACTTTTGAGTTCACTCTTTCTCAATAGCTCATTTGCTGAAACCCGAATAATGTCCAAAGAATCTGAAGACTTTTTGTGGGTGTATGAAACCTATTGAGATATTGTTTAACACTAAGAACTCATTAATAGATTACCATACAATCAAAAATATTCACTACTACGATACAAACCAATTTATCATAATCTCACATAGAGTAAAGAAAAGAAATCATTCAGATTATGCATTGATTCAAATATGACACATGACGCTATGCGCCGACAAAATGTACAAGCTCGCTCGCGCGAAAAGGGGATAATGTACAGGGGAATGAAGGGGGTGGCCATGAAGGCCCTATGTACAACTGATGCGCTAATGCGCAATAACATAAAGTTTAAAGAGTCTCAAAATCGCAGTTTTGAGTACCACTGGGATTGTAAATAAATTGGCTATAAAGAGGTTAATGAGGTAATACTTGTAAATTAAAGTGAAGAGTTGATTAAATGCTAACATAGAACCACAGACAGATAAATCTAATATTGCAATGTTTGAATAATTATGTCGGAAGTTGAAAGATCTGTGTTGGGCTCACTCCATTTGTGGCATGTAGCTGAGGTCCAGGAACTTTTGAATCTCTAGACCCACAGTCACGAGTTAGGCAGCGCACTTTAGGTGGTGGCAAGAGTGAAGGATCTGTAAGCAGCATTCTGTTGTCTGATGAGGAGACACAATTGCCATTGGATGTGCTGTACGAGACCTCAGCCCCAAGCGACCTGGGAAATTCGGAAGGCTGAAGGGTAGCATTATACGGCCTTGCCAACTTCCGCCATAGGCGATGGTTTTCTACCACACTATTGCTAGGCTTGGGCAATATTACTGGTTGCGAGAGTTGAAGCATATTTGAATATGTGTTGGGAAGCTATATTTATATGAAGCAAGCCCAAAGAAATTTAGTTTTTAACAATCACAAATGCAAAACCATGTTATCATAAGTTATAGAACATATAAACCTGATAATACGGAAAGGTTGAATGAATAATCTTCATTGCAGTCATATAATATGAACGACTGAAATTATACTGCACAAACGCCATACATTATGTAAGTATCCCTCAAAATTCTGAAATTGTAAAACTCAAAAAGCAGAAAAAGAGAACAAATAAAAAAGGCTCACCATGGCCGTCGATGGTGTGTTAACTGATTTCTTTGATGTTTGGTCGATCGTCAGATGCAAAGGAGAATGCTTTTCTTGAGTCGACAAGTTATCATCGGGAATATCAGTTAACTCACGTTTTTCATCTTGACCAACTCCATCTAGGGGCACTTCACTGATGCTCTCGATTGGAGTTTCAGGAGGATCCATTTTTTGTGGAAGAGGAGGAGAGGAGTGAGGATGTGGAGACCTTTCGGACTCACTATTTAGGGGTTCAAAGTTCATTGGAGGGTAGATTTTTTTACAAATGGGCCAAGCGAATGACGGACGTCCGCGATGAGAACTTAGAATGGAAGTCTTCAACCTATCAAGCAAAGCAACATCTTTTGTTCGTGATTGTCGCCAACAGGAATCTGAAGGTGTATGTCTTGCATTAGGTAGGTCCGTATACTGCAAACTGGCATTGTAGGATTCAAGATAAGAAGAAAGTGCTGCAGGAGCCGCAACACGATCATAAATTACCCGACCACCCCGACCGAGGCGACGTCTTACGTAACCAGTATATGTAGGATGCTTCGTATTACACAGCCATGGAACTGTCGCCAATGTGTAGCAGGAATAGGGTGGGCGGAAAGGATGAGAGCTGGGCAGCATAGGGCATTCCTCCATCAAAGGCCTAAGAAAATAAACAGCACGGAAACATCATAAAAATGAGGTAAGCTGGAGATATTCTTATACGTCAAACATAGCGAACGTTAAAGCATGGTTACCAGCACTCATAAAAATCCTGTAATTAAACCCAATACTCTAATTGGAAAACAGATGTGAATTTAAACATGAAAACCGTATATGTGATTTGTGAATTCAAGTGGTGGGTTAGGGTCCGAACGGCAAGTTATTTGAAATGTTGCTGATTTTGTGAATTTGCAGCAATATAAACCTGGAATCGCACAAATAGTTCGGCGTCACTTCCCTCACACTGGGTGGCTACTGTCAACCAAAGTATGGATTCTACGCAATGACTAGCACCATAAACAAGAACGAGCTCCAAAGGCAACTCAATTTCGCCGAAATAGCCAATTAGGGGTGAATTTGCTACAAAAAGACGTTTAGTACAGTACAACCCAATTACCTACTTTGCAAACAGAGCCTACACAATTCACGATAGTAAGTTCATAAACGTCAAGATGAAATTACAAGGGACGGTCGGTAATCTCGAAGAGTGAAAACCAAAGCAATTTTCAAAGTAACTTATGTAATGTGGAATTACATTCTATTATAGTCTCCATTTCCTACACTCCCACTAAGTCCTTATTCGGATTCGCGCAAAACGACAAGTTGTAGTACTTTGACTTTTGTGTGACCAAAATACACAATTTACCACCTTCAAAGGGTGGAGTACGATTTCAACGAAACATCCAGATGTATGTTAATCCTATTTTGACTTCGATTAGAGTAATAGATATAATACACGACACAAAATTAAGTTTGTACACGACTGGTAGGTTCGAATTAACATCTGTTATTTGAGAATACCAAACCCGTTATCATGTGAACCTGAAGTTTTATGCATGGGAGAAATCTACATGTTCTACGGATTATCATCGACCTTAACGCAATATTGAGCAATAATCCCACTACTGAAGAACCACATGAACAGCGTAGAAGGGAAACAGACAAGATTAATAGTGAAAAAGCTTATATTAGACAATAAACCTTTGTAAACCATTAGAATTTATTCAAGTACTATGTACAAAAACTTGAGCAACCATTCGCCAAGCAGAAGTCTTGTGAGATCATTGAACGCCTGCAAATTACAGGTAGGTTGTTTCTTTTCCATGTGCAAAATGCGTGGTCAGGAGGTATGGACTATGATTTCACGGAAACCATGAAGTTTCTATTTATACTACTTATGAAGAGCTGCAGGTAAACGGAAGTGGACGATGTGCATAACTCAACAAATACACAAAAGTTTAGCACATAAATATCGTAGCTTGGGTGGGTAACCAAATACCTTGGCTTCAAATATCTGCAACCAGGAGTCCGAACAAAGGAAAATGGTCCATCTTGACTATCTTCATTGTCGGAAACCTCATCAGAACTTGTAGGATTCGGAAGATTGTTGAATCTCCTGGCCAGCTTCCGTTTCCGATTAGGACGCTTTTTGTTGTCCTAAAGATTTAGAATTACTAGTTAGATGACTTACTTTTATAGGCTTTTCTGTTACTGCACTTTCCTCATTGTCATCAAACTTACGCACCAAATTTTCAGCCTCGAGGAGATCTGAACCCTCCCAGTCGCACAGCTTGCATCTTAATTGAAAGCATCTATAATCACAGCTGACTATAGCTTCTTTCGCTGCCTCACGCTTAACAAGGCGACCAAGGATCTCCCTAAGAGAGTGAATATTAAGTAATAAATTCTAACCCCAAGGAATCCATCTGTTCCCGTAAAATCAACATCTTTTCATACGACTGCTCATCGCTTTTCCTGTTCTTACGGGTCTGCATTTTTTCACTGCGTCTCCGGAAAGCCACGTATGGGTCGGTATTACTGCCCCCATCGCGGCGTTCTTGCCGAACAGCATAAAGCAATGGCTGTCTTGACTGAACACGCTTGTTGAGCCAATAATCGTATACGGCGATAACGAGTGATGGATGGTCTTGGAGGAGATACTTTGCTTCTTCAAGATTCATAACCTAGAAATAATTTATACTAGATGTGCAAGTGTGTACCTTTTGACCACAACCACGCTCTAGACGGTCTATCATATATTCAAATTTCTCAGGAGTGATACCCAGATCACTTTGTCGAAACCATTCTTCATCCTCACTATCCATATCATATTCAACTGGTTCCTCTTCCGAGAATACAATTGCTATACAAAACATCAAGGAGTGCTGTATACGGACTTACTCCTGATATGTAATAGTTGCTTTGGGAGACTAAAGCCATCTGGATAAACCCTCTTGTATTCATTCTCTTTGTCAATTATTTCAGGTACGGGTATTTTTACGTCTGAATCGGCACGAAGTTGCAAAGCTTGGATAACTTCCACAAAGTGGTGTTCCTGGAAGGAGGGTCAAAAACATGAGAGTTAACTTGGGAGCCCACCACCCTAGGAGTTAAATAGGCAAGCTGATATCTGACAGGCAAATACATTTACATACATCGTAACACTATATAAAAGCGCAAACATGATTACATTTTCCTCTTCCTTCTCCATCCCGCTGGGTATCTGTGGAACGCCACGATTGACCAGTGCATTTTCACTAATCTCAAGAAATAGTTCGGAACCATGCTTCAGGATAGGTAATGGTTTGTTAAAATCTATTTGTCGAGCACGAAATGAGACTTTGCTCATAGCTGGAAAATAAGAACAAAATGGGGGGGTCACAAATTGTGAATGCAATGAAGTTTCACATCATAAAACCAGGATAAGACGCTACTTAACATGATAAACCTATCTTTTAACATTTATCATAGCAATTACAGTCAAATAACCTTAAATATTTGATTGTTTTGGCCCCACTCCAATATGGCGCGGGGTCATTTACGTAAAATCCAATATGGCGGACAGAAAGCCTACTAATGGCAGGGAAAATGGAGACACGGTGATATATTTGAGTGATTATAACAAAAAGTAGTGACTAACATTTCTGAGAACTTATCTCTGTCTATTATGTTATGCATTTATATCACAATTGCCCCCACTAAGACATAAGAATATCTTATGAACTTGGCATATCGTTTTGAACTTTCTTATATTAGGTAGCCATAGGCAGTCATTTTGTAACTATGGTGACCGAAACATACCGGCTCCCAGTATATCTTTAGGAGATAGAATAAAACTGGCTTCGATGTCACTTTCAGGTAACTACTAGGACAAGCTAGAAAGTGACTTAGAGAGACTAATCAAAAGCTGGACCACGAACGAATTTCAATGAATAAGGAGAATATGTGGGACACTTTCAGCTTTGAAAATTCGACTCCTGAATTTCACTCTCCATCTGAATGAACGGTTATTCAGGTCAGTGCATTCATTTCTGAGCTAGCGTGAATCTCATGATGGTTCGCCTTACTGCAACACAGGCCATCATAAAAATCGCAGTAGATATATACTCTTCCGTATTTTAGATTGCTCACTGAAACTGTATTAAATGCCAAACCATAATGCCACACACTTCTCACTATTCTTAGGCTGTTTTTTCTGTCAACATGATATAAACGTGTTGACTGAAGTGTTTAATGTCTAGCATAGTTGTGACCGTTTTAACTACACTGGTTATTTAGGTCGCTGAATACCAGTCGACAAATAATCAGTTGTCTCATGGTGAATTTACGAAGTTTTAATGGAGTGTTATCGTCGACGGGATCCATCGGGTGGATTGTGAGAACAGTACTTACTGATGATATCAGGTGATGGTAAAGCTGAATTGCCAAGTAGGAAGGACGGGAAGGCACATATAACTTCACTTTTTGATGGAGAATAACTGCATGGATATAGTCGCCAGGGTTATCTGAGGATTACATAAAATACTCTGTTATATTACTCATGGTTGCTAATTAATTTCGCCACTCTACTTTTTATGTGTGGCACTAGTGAAAGTATTTAAGTGGGGGAGCACAAGGATTAGAGGTTCTCTGACAAGAAGGAAACATCACATCTGGCTTGGCTTAACAATTTTCAAATATTCCTGGTAGAATTCCTGGGAAGATAACAAATAGTGTCAGTTGTTGGATTTAAAATTTTTTTCTCAGAGTTTATCGAGCAAACACTGCTTTGATTCGTGTTTTGTATCGGACACTAAGCCGTGTCTGGGTGAATCTGAGTGAATAGCATTACCAACAACCTAGTGAAATCCTTTTTACATCCTCTACTACGTCTCTAAATTGCACACAGCTTCTCAGAAGCTGATTTTCATTTTCAGGAAAACCAGCAGTTAGAGTGAGGATTCTCAATAGTTTAATTGAGGACTAACCCTCAGGCTTCCTTGAAATCCCCCTGGGAGCCAAATATATTTGGTTCTGTAAGCCCTTGCACAGTTTTATACATGCTTATAGTTCGAGGATTTTCAACTTGTAATTTCTTATTGTTTGCACTAACCTGCTGGTTGTGATAACGATAGTCACATAAGTTGCATAGAAGACTCGCCCTACAGCTTTCCCCAAGAGACATTTCATCTTTTGAATGACTGCATCTGTCCTGAATGGCAACATAACATGTAACTTCCGCCCGGAAACCATCTGCGATGTTATTTTGGTTTATTTTTTAAAGCGTTTGTTAATAGGCCGACAGCGACTTCTGGTTAAGTGTATCGCTAAGGGAACTCTGTCCTACTGTAACCGACCATCTGAACGGCTCCCCCTGCATTTTCAAATAATGTCTTGATTTGAAACAAAGATGTCTTGATGTTAAATCTGACAAAGGTCAGTGAGTAGTCATAATGGACGGGTATGACTATATATGAGAAGTGAAGCCATCGATTTTAGGTTAGGTGAAGTTTAAAGCTGATTGCAGTGGTAAAACTGGCATGTCTAAGTCAGTAGAAGAACATAAATTCTTGCTGGAGTAGCCAGTTCAGCCGATTTCGCTTGCAACAGTGAGATAACGTGACGGAATGCGAACCAAAAGAAGTGTCAGCCTTCACATCATAAGAAGACTCTTCGACCGGAAATCGAGCGATCGCGCTGAGACTTTGTGAGTGCGGGTTCCAGTAAGTTTTGCATAGGACTTCTCACAGTACTTATCATATAATAATGGCTACACCTGTTCAGGTGTATAAGATTAGAATTGATAGTCTGTCGGCAGTGGTGCTGAATTTTGGTGTTTCTTCTTGAATAGGTTTTAGATCTCTTTCACCCTTACAGTACCAAACTTTATTGTTATTGTATTTCTTATAACTATGGTCCACTCAGTTTGTGTTTTTATTCATTTTTTCATAGGTGTGAACACAACTTAGGGTGAGGATATAGGCTACAACCTGTTATATTTTCCGCGCCTCAGGTTTTCTCGTCTTTCATTGGCTAGAACAGTGGCGGTCAATTGGATATTTGATTTGTCCTGAGTAGGTGCTATCGGGTGCTGTGTTGTGTGGTTGTGTTTACGTCGTTTGCCAGCATATGTGATGAGTATAAATGTAAATTTTGACTGTTACAAAGCTTTGTTTTTCTTTATTTGTGCATGTACTAGGCTTGGCTTGTCATACACTCCGTTGTTTGGCCCAGCGGTTGCTTGCGAAGTCAACGAACCGGTGGGTTCTTGTGCTTTTCTGTAATTAAGGTTATACGTGCGGTATTTTCTTGATGGTTATTGATCATTCATGTATTTTAATGTTGTTTTATTACGAATTATCTTGGAATAGTTGTGACATAGATGGATACTTATTGATAAATCTATTTTAGTTCGTTGCAGGTAGTCAATTCGAGTGAAAGGAGAGCAGACTTAAGTGGAATTTTTGGTGAATTTATACTTGGAAGGCGTTTCTTCAGCTGGGATGAATTTGAGAAGTCATTAGCAGAATTTCAAAAAGTGAGGAAGTCATTTAATGGTAACAGTGTAGTTGTCCTGCACTCACTATGTTCATACTTATAGCAAAACAATACCGGATGGCAGATTTAAGTACCCTTACGTTGGTTTTAAATGCACTTTCGGAGTGACTCGTAGAATGCCTGTGTTTAAATTGAAAAACAAGTCGTAAGAAGAAGTGTACTATGATTCGATGAATATTTAAGGTCTAAATGCTGCAATTGCTCGTCTTCATTTAGCGCGGTTTTGCGTTGTAGTGAATACATAATTGCTTCCCAAAAGATGGTACATAACCATCCATGCAGCATGGTGTACATGCAGAATGACCGATGGTTTAGACGACTAACAGTGGAAGAGAAAGAAAACGTAGAACCACTTCTTCAGCAATCCCACTCATCCGATGAAACAATAATGCATGTTAAGGAAAAGTACCGCAAGGATATAACTCGTATCGACGTTAAAAATATGAAAGCCGCAGTTAATAAAGGTAACGTTGACGTACTTGTTAATTACTTAAGGTATTTCGAGTCGTCGTGACATTTTTCAATTCCTGAAATCCCGTGGGAAGTTAGTGGAGTATTATTCTGATGAACCGATCAGGAATTCACTAACAAGAGTTTACTTTTCAACCTATGAGCAAATCGAATTGTGCAAACAGTCTCCGAAGGTTGTTGGTATTGACTCTACACATAATACAAATAAAGGGAAGTAAGTTTACCAATTCATTAATCAGCATGCAGGTATTCTTTGTTCCAATTAGTTGTGACGGATAATTTTGGTCGTGGACGTCCAGTTTTATTTACTTCGACTAGAAAGGAATTCAAACGTGATGTAGTTTGGATATTGGACTCATTTCGTCAAATAATGGAAGATACTTCTAAAACAAAGACTTTCATTATGGATTGTGCACAATCTGAAATAGCAGCAGTCAAGTTAACGCACAGAGAAGCGCACATTGTTCTGTGTTCTTTCCATGTATGTCGAGCATTCTGTCGTAGAGTAAGTTTTTTAAAATATAATCAAAATTTTTATAGTAGACACGTAATTCTATTGTGAAGAACTACTTATGCTCCGTAGTGCAGTGTAGAAGGAGATCATAGTAATGCCTTTAATTTTCTCATTTTCCAGATTTAATTTCTATTTAAGAGTTATAGCAGATTGGATGTAAGTGTCAGTCAATATATACAACGTCGTTGGATGCATCAACGAGAATTGTGGGCAGCATGTTTCAGAGACCATGTGCTGACTTTTGGTAATGATACAAATAATCGAGTAAAAAGTTCTCACAACCAAATGAAGCGTTACTTGCAAAGATCAGACAGTCAGCGAAAAAGCATGCTGAAGGTTTATAAATGGTGTCAACAAAGTTATTCAAGAATACAGCAGGATTCGATGATTGCTCAGTCGCAATGCTTCACGTATTCCTGTTCATAACGTCTCATATCAATCCTACGACTACTGACGCCATACGCCGCGAGGGAGGTAATCTGTGAGTACGAAAGGCGACGATGGGCTTCTGTTGAGGTTGAAGCTTTCGATTATGTCTTCTTCCAAGACAATAGGAACAGAGTAGAGGTTGATCTGCGTGCTTGTAGATGCACTTGTGTGACCTTTCAGACTTGTCGGTACCCCTACCGACACTTGCTGTCGGTTCATTTCAAAAAGACATGTTTTACAGGTATATTTGTGTTTTTATGGCTCCACTTTTAATGTACGTCGACCTAACCTTAAGTAACTGAAAATCTTACATACTGAAATTTGTAATTTTTATAATCGTATTCGTGTGTACAATGCCTTAACTGGAAACAGGACAAAAGCACTACCATAATTAAACCTGGGATATTCTGTTCATAATTATCTTTACGTTTTTTGTTCCACCTTTTGTAGTTAATCATGTGCTGCAGAATTGTAAACAGTGGACGCGGTCACGCAACTTGTTCACATCTCAAAGCACGTCAGCAGTTTTCCCTCGAAATCAATGTGTCCAAAATGAAAACCAGTAGGAGTATTATCAATGCGGGCCTTATGAGAATTAGTGACAAATTTCGAGAAGTGTTTGCAGCTAATTATTCAGCAAAAGTAATCGCAGGAAGCAATCGTATTCTTAATGTGTAAATAGACAAAGTCTGTATCATAATTAAAATTAAAATTTCACGTAAATATTGTTGTCTATCAATTCATGTGTTCGCTTTGTCGGCACAGCATGCGTCAATGCAGTTGAAGATTGAACGATCAATTCACGG